TTGTTTGTACATGATTAAATATTGTCTGTGTCCATTTATTTTGTCAGTGGATAGAAAATAATTGTCTGGGCATTCATTTATATTGTCTGTGCATGGTTTAAATATTGCCTGTGTGCTCATTTGTTTTGTCTGTGCGAAGAAAGTAATTGTATGTGTGTTTCCTTATATTGTTTGTGCATAGTTAAATTATTGTTTGTGTGTTCATTTATTTTGTATGTGTGTAATAAATAATTGCCTATGTTCATTTAAATTGTCTGTCACTAATTCATACTCATAATATGATTCGCTTATCCATAGTACGCAACTAGTGAGTTGGCTTGTCAAAGAATGACAAAAATAAATCATGTTGATATACATGAGACTAAAATTGAAAACTACCAACTACTCATACTTATTATTATATGGGACTTGCACTAAGGCAAAATAATCCCCCAAACACAACTAGTTATGATTATGTGGACTTGCACAAAAGCAAGACAATTACCAACAAAACAAAATAATACAAAAAGCAAAGATTACACCTTCACAAGCTAAGGTACACCACACTTTCAAGTTAAACTTTACATGAAACTAAATCAACTTCCTCAATCGTAGGACCACCTGCACTAGTAGCGCTACCACCACCGAAACCAGCAGTACCACCATCCATATGAGAGGGCCAACACCACCTTGGTACATCTAAGTAATGATGTGATTACAAATACTCTCAAGTTCCTTAAACTTGTCTGCAAATTTATCAACCTCCACAAGTTGATTGTATCAACCTCCACAAGTTACAAATAGCCTGTTCAACAACACCCTCAATTTTCTTCTTATCTTCTACCGGCAGCTAGGAGCCACATCCACAACCGGCAAGCACACTAACCATTAACCACTTCATAAAATTACAAAAAGTTAAGAACAATTTACTAAAATCCCCCCAAGTAAATCCCAGACTTTTACTCAACGATCTCTCTTGCCAATAAAAATCAGCTCAATATGCAACATATGCTGTATTTGTATTATTCAAGAACCTCCCTCCCTGCTGGGCATTTGTATTTCCTTGTATATTCTATGGCAACAACATATGAGAAGGGAAACCCCAATGAGAAACGTACTCCTGGTATGTGAGGGAAGAATTATGCAGCATTGCCCTTTCATGTGAAACAATTGTATATCAATTACAGGGTTTCTTAGGAATGGAAATTGTATAAAATATTTCATTCCTTACTTCCTGTGAAATAATTTGATCACATAATAATGAAAGCATTTACCCATGGATGTATATAAGTATATTCCTTCTTTTGACCATCTAGGCTATTGCATCTTACATTCTTACTGTTTCAAGAAAATCAGAGCATCAAGTTGAGATAACTGCCACTAGAAGATAAGAGAAAAAAGATAAGAAAAAAAAAGAGTAAAAGTCTTGGATTTAATATTACTAAAAGTCTTGGATTTAATATTACTAAAAGTCTTGGATTTAATATTACTAAAAGTCATGAATCTTCTTTTAAGCTTTTAGTAATATTAAATCCAAGACTTTTAGTAATATTAAATCCAAGGCTTTTACTCTTCTTTTTTTCTTATCTTTTTTCTCTTATCTTCTAGTGGCAGTTATCTCAACTTGATGCTCTGATTTTCTTGAAACAGTAAGAATGTAAGATGCAATAGCCTAGATGGTCAAAAGAAGGAATATACTTATATACATCCATGGGTAAATGCTTTCATTATTATGTGATCAAATTATTTCACAGGAAGTAAGGAATGAAATATTTTATACAATTTCCATTCCTAAGAAACCCTGTAATTGATATACAATTGTTTCACATGAAAGGGCAATGCTGCATAATTCTTCCCTCACATACCAGGAGTACGTTTCTCATTGGGGTTTCCCTTCTCATATGTTGTTGCCATAGAATATACAAGGAAATACAAATGCCCAGCAGGGAGGGAGGTTCTTGAATAATACAAATACAGCATATGTTGCATATTGAGCTGATTTTTATTGGCAAGAGAGATCGTTGAGTAAAAGTCTGGGATTTACTTGGGGGGATTTTAGTAAATTGTTCTTAACTTTTTGTAATTTTATGAAGTGGTTAATGGTTAGTGTGCTTGCCGGTTGTGGATGTGGCTCCTAGCTGCCGGTAGAAGATAAGAAGAAAATTGAGGGTGTTGTTGAACAGGCTATTTGTAACTTGTGGAGGTTGATACAATCAACTTGTGGAGGTTGATAAATTTGCAGACAAGTTTAAGGAACTTGAGAGTATTTGTAATCACATCATTACTTAGATGTACCAAGGTGGTGTTGGCCCTCTCATATGGATGGTGGTACTGCTGGTTTCGGTGGTGGTAGCGCTACTAGTGCAGGTGGTCCTACGATTGAGGAAGTTGATTTAGTTTCATGTAAAGTTTAACTTGAAAGTGTGGTGTACCTTAGCTTGTGAAGGTGTAATCTTTGCTTTTTGTATTATTTTGTTTTGTTGGTAATTGTCTTGCTTTTGTGCAAGTCCACATAATCATAACTAGTTGTGTTTGGGGGATTATTTTGCCTTAGTGCAAGTCCCATATAATAATAAGTATGAGTAGTTGGTAGTTTTCAATTTTAGTCTCATGTATATCAACATGATTTATTTTTGTCATTCTTTGACAAGCCAACTCACTAGTTGCGTACTATGGATAAGCGAATCATATTATGAGTATGAATTAGTGACAGACAATTTAAATGAACATAGGCAATTATTTATTACACACATACAAAATAAATGAACACACAAACAATAATTTAACTATGCACAAACAATATAAGGAAACACACATACAATTACTTTCTTCGCACAGACAAAACAAATGAGCACACAGGCAATATTTAAACCATGCACAGACAATATAAATGAATGCCCAGACAATTATTTTCTATCCACTGACAAAATAAATGGACACAGACAATATTTAATCATGTACAAACAATATAAACAAACACATAAACAATAGTTTTTTACAAATGAACAATGTTTTAATCATGCACACACAATATAAATGAACGCAAAGACAGTTTCAATTTCTGACATTCTCTTACAATGAGCATCAATATTTTCTGACCATCTTAGAAGCAACACTTCAAAAATAAACCATAAACTAGTTGACATACTACTCAATACATTTTATTGACAAGTAAACCAACTGATACAATTGATACATATACATCAAATGAGACCTAGCTAAGTACTATAAATCTAGCTACTTCACTTTCAATCTTCATTTCTGATACATGTCTGACTTTCATTTTTTCTAACTCACCTAGAAGGCTAGAAGCACCACCAATTCAGCCTTGAGTGCTTTTTTATTCTCTTTTGGTTTTTGCATATTCATTTCAAATAATTTTTCTCCTCTTGCTATTTTATCACCAAATTACTTGAGCATTGAGCACAAGATTCTCCTCTAGTCATAGTTTTTCATGCCCTGCCAAACTTCAATTGCTTCACTTGCTCAGTCAATTCACCATTTTCCCTCTTTAACGTTTGAAAACTCTATGGTGAACTATAAGAATCAACTTTACAGGTGATTTATTGCTGCCAAGTTCACAGGTTTTATAGGTGCAAGGCCGTAGCTCCTTTTTGAAGCAATCTAGCTAGTAGCAACTAATAATTAGAAGTTTATCTGCAAAAAATAAAATTCCAGTCACCCACTCTTTAGGCTTTAGCTTATTTGAAGAAACCTGCAACAAAAAAGAACTTTTAAAATCCATCAAGTATAAAAGCATATTAGCAAAAAAGGAGAATGAACTTCCAAAATCGTGTATATAAATAAATAAAATCATTGAAGCATTACAACAAACACCTTATGAGCAAAAAAGTGAAATAGAATATTTGAACAAAAAAATTAAATTATTAACATCACATATCTATAAGTATATAACAGTGTAAATAAACATTCAACATTATAACATACTCTGTATATCATATACATAAAGTAAGAAAAAACAGAAATAATTGTGACCCAAAATACACAACAAATGGAATAAATACCTTATATGAACAAGGCTTTGGGAGAAGAAAATTAAATCCACAATCGAAAAAGTAGTTGATGAAAATTTCTATACCACTTGAGACCTCTTGAGAGCTCTTAAAGTTGAAGAAAAGAGAAAGAATTGAACGAAAAGGAAGAAAAGAGAAAGAAGGGAAAGGAATGGCATCGAAGGGGGGAGAGAGGAGAGATAAGTGGGAAAGGGGTAAAGGGTGTGAGAGGGGTAAAAACATTTAGGAGTATATATAGTGTGTAGTAATGTGTATAAGAAGGTGTACAAAGAGCATTTTTGAATTTACAATACAATTAGGAATCACTTCAAAGCTTTTATCTTATTCTACTAGTAACACGCCTTATCTAACTAACACATGTGCAACACGGTCCACAGATCGTCTACAAAAAAAATGACTAAATTCAACACACTCTCACCATTCCCAAATCGCAGCTGTAAGGACATCTCACACACCCAATGCTTCAAATTCCCTTAGGCTCCAAACCCCCCTTCTAGAGGTAGATGCTTTATCCGTCCTAGCAACCGGACTGCGACTTCCTTCAGAACATAGTTAATTGGTGCTCATTGATGGCAGAATCAATATTTACTTTGATAACTCTCGTCTAAGGCTTCCTCCATCGGCCCTAGTGCACTTATTATTTCTAAGATTTTAAAATCTCATTTGTAACCATTTTCAACCATTTTATTAAATATTTACCTTTTCAACCATTTTATTAAATATTGTGCCAAAACCAAAGGAGGCACATAAAATGGGACGGAGGTAGAATTTTTTATTTTTACTTTCTTTCTTTTCCTTTTGGTGGTGATATCATGTATCAATTCATGTTAGCTGACACCAATATCTTTTGGGACTAAGGCTTGGATGTTGTTGTTGTTATTTTACATCTAACTTTTTTTTTACTACAAACTTTTAGTTTTGCAATAAAATGCTAGTCTCGGATTTAAATTACATGATTATGAATGAATAACATGAAAGAAAAACATACGCATAGATAACTAAAAATCTCCATCTAATGTCTCTCTAGTTTTCTCAAAATTAAGTGAGCACCGAATTGAGGAACAAGAGCGGTTACAGCTTGAGGAGCATGAGCATAAGATGGGGACAACTCGAAAGCATACCGCCTTAGAATCATAGCAATTGCCATCTTAGCCTCTAACACAGCGAAGTTCTGTCCAATGCATATCCGAGGTCCCCAACCGAATGGGGCGAATGAGAACTGCCCTTTGGTTGCTTTGCTAACTCCCTCGCTAAACCTCCCCGGATTGAAATCCTTTGCATCTTCACCCCACATTTCTTCATCTTGTTGCAGCACAATTAGTGGCAATATAAGGTTTACTCCAGCAGGTAGGTTCAATCCACATTTTACATCTAACACAAAGTTGATAATGTCCTTTGGGAGAGAAGTTATATGAAATAAATATACATTTATTAATACAACAAAGGTTGTCTCCAATCTTATAATAATAGTCAATAAAGGTTAGAGCATTCTTGGTAGGAAAAAAATTTTGGTGTAATAGGGTGCTTCATTCTGTGGTACCCTACGATCCAAAGTTTGTACTCTTTGTTAATATCTTTATGTCCCCCTTTTTTGTCTGTCTATTGCCGTTACCTAAACTTATGTCCTTTCTGTTAATCAATACTCCGTACATCTCTTCAATTAGTCGCTACCGTCAAGTAGATCGTACGTGGTGAGCTTGTGAGCTGTTTTTACTATGCCATTTAATTCGCATATTCAGTGCCCTAATTGATCTCCCAAATCGTCCCCTGAGGCACCCCCCTTGTTAAAAGTGTTCCATTTAGCTTCTTATTTATCACACTATTTTTTTGTGTTAAACATGCTGATGTTGTAGTGTATTGTTTTTTAGAGTAGTGTATTTTGGTGGGAGAGACAACATCCCTGACCCCCATCCCATATACATTGTTTAAACATATCTTTTGTATGTGAGTTTGGTCAGTAAAATGAGATAGATCTGAACTTTGAAATACATGTGTCACTAAATTTGAATGCTTTTATGTTGTGTAAACCTAACCTTGTGGTGGAAATTTGCAACCTATGCTGATCTGGTTGTGTTCCTTGAGTTGAAATGTTTTTTCTTAATAATGTTTGTGGAATTTTGGATTAATTTGCTTATAAGTTAAAAAAAAAATCCTTTTTAGCATTAAAATTTTAGATGAATAATTTAGTTTAAACGGGAGTCAGCCCCCACATGTGAAAATATTAAGTTAGCAAGGAGGTTTCTTTACTTCATATGATAGACATAGCAATGAACATCACACATGGTAGATAGGAAATAAAAAGTAAATCTTGACTTGCCTCTAAGCAGCCTTGATATTCATAAATGAAAAAGTTCTTATGCCCAACGGTGCAGGATACTCGAAACAGGTTGTTGAGCTTGACTCTCCGTGTCCAAGTGAAGGAATCCATAGACAACGGGAGAGTTGGCTACCACTGGCGATCAAGCGGCACTCATATTGAGTATTTCTAGACACAAAGTGATGGATGAAACTCGAGTCACCCTCCGGACTTATGCTTTTCCAAGTACTCATGTAAAGGAAAAGTTATCCAAGAATATCTACATTGCTTCAATATGCTATGGGAGAACCATATGCTAATCATTCCTATAAAGCCAAAAGAATTCCTGCATTTTTGTGTGTAGGGGGTTTCTATCTCTTGTGATGTACGTAGTATTATGGTAAAAATCGCAGAGATGGGTATCCAGAATTTGCTTGAGTCAATGGAATAGACAAAAATTGCTATCGGCCTAAAACTGATTGGTCTTGGCATCTAGTTTGTTATTTAAAAAAATTGATATGCAATTGTGCATGTCATACCACTCTATCTCGAATTAAAGATGCACCACCGTTGACATTTTTTGCTTGTAAATTAATACGTATGATTTATGATGTTCCCACTTTGTAGGTACTATATAAATACAAAAAAAAACATTTCAAGCCAATATAAGTTTTATCTTAAATTAACAAAAAACAATAAAATGCAACTTTCATCCTCTTTAAAGGTTCTCATAATAAAACGGCATGATCATTTACACAATAGGTATACAATATACTAAGTTTAGTGGTGATAATTGTGATGTTATAAATGTGTTATTTTTAACATTTAATGATTACTTTATCATTCAGGAGTGTTAACCGTTTTCTAAAATAGAAATGAAAATCTTTATATGGGACGTTCATAAAAGTAAAGTGAGAACCTTTATATACGATGGAGGGAGTAGGACTTATAATAAATAAATAAAATAGAGTAGGATTTACATTAAATAAATTATATTGGGCACTACATCAATCGCGCAACGCGCGTTACAAAACTAGTTTATAGAATATGAGCTCTTAGGTGTACTGGCTATAATACTAATTTCAATTATGAAACTTAGAATGTTTTTAATTGAACCGAAATTTGACGGAATGGTCCGGTTAAGTCTAGTATTTTCTGGTCTAATTTGGTTTGTTTAAGCGTAGTCTGATCTAGTCCGGGACTAAAAACCGTCTAAGTAAAAACATCCTTATGTTCAATATTCATACTTACTTGATCTAACACTATACTAGGATACCTTTGAGTCATATTTTTGATAATAAGTTCAATCTCAATAATATGTTTGAAAAAAAACTCCTTACTCAGAAGAATCTCACTTACTCAATATCTATCAATATCTACTGAATATAGAATTAAGATTTTTAAACATGGAAGAATTGATAATAATAAAACACACTTACGCCCATAGTCCTAGACTCTTAGCTAACCGGATGATGAAATGTTATTCCGATTCTTTTGCTTTTTCTTTGGAAAAGGTTAAACAAATAATTCTAAATTTTACTCACTTCTTAAAACAGATTGTTATGTCATTTTTCTCTTTCTCCCTAAAGTTATATGTAGTATCTCTTTGTTTTTTATCATCTTGACACATTTCCCCCCATTTTCATCTTTTTCATATTTTTATATGTTTCCCTTGCTTTTTTTATATGTGTCTTACCTTTATGCACTGTTAGAATACTTTTTGTAGATTTTTCTTCAATTACTTTTCCCATTTCTTCTTCTTCTTCCGCTTTTTGCTCTCTTTTCCCTTTTATGCATTTCTATTCAGTTTAATCCTTTTTATAAAAAACTCTTCCACCCTACTCATCACTATTTTCTTTAATTTTTATTACAATGGTTCTTTGCTTTTATTCTCCTTTTTTCGCCACATTAGAAGTTTTTTCTCCCTTTTTATCCAGACTTTTTCCCCTAGTTTTTGACATGTTAGTCACTTGTGTGTTGTTGTTATGAGTTTCTTCATTTTTTATTTTCTTTTTTCGACTAACCCCCCTCTCACCTGTCTCTTTTTTGTGTAAGGAATACATGTTTGTTTTTCCTTTTTTATTTGTTACTTTAAATCTCATTTTTGTTGGGACACGCCTAGAAATAGTTTCACCAGTAAATGACGGAGTTAATGAGTAGACACACCCAGAAAAATATGATGGTGTGGAGAAGGAAATGAATATATCGATGGTAGAATTAGAGTAAGAAGAAACAAAGGGGGGTGAAAGGTCATAGCAATACTCTTTTGCATTATCGCTGCAAAAGGTTTGCATAGATGATCCAATTAGGTTTTGAATTTCATTACATAAAATTTTGGAATACAATAAAGTAGCACATCCTAATGTGAGTGAGACAGACATAGCCCCCGTACATCAGGGTGGAGTAAAGAAATGAGGTGGTAGCACACTTATTATTTCTAATAAGGTGTGATGCTCTTGTGTCTTTCTCCAATTAGCTTGATCAATTCTATAGTTGTTAAGTTTGTCAAGTCAAGAACAAGTTGACATAAATTATCAAGGTTAGGGTGTTCTAATTGACAATGGTTAAGAAAAGGTGACACAATTGTACCCCATGTTGCTTGAGTGGAGCATGAAAGATGGTGAAATCACTATGATTCATATCGTCTACCAATCTATTCCAATATTTGTGGCCTTTGGGCACTCAAATACAACGAATGATTAGGTTGATGAGCTGAGAGTAAGGTGAAGAGATAAACAATATTATAGACGACATTTGACAAATTTGATAAAGGAAAAGAGCGACTCTTTCATATAATCTCGCCTTTCTTCTTGACCTATCGGCAAAAGTAACAACACTTTGTTTACCATGAGGGTTCTAATAGACCTCATGGGTATGCCATAGCTTATTGAAGAAATCGCAAAAGTAATATGCATTACGTCATCTACTTCGTCCACCACGCATGCCTCAATATCTTTCCCACTCTCTTCCTCGATTATCACCATGTTAGTTTTGGTATCCAGAAGTAAGAGCCTAGTATTCAACGCTAGGTAATGATGCATTATCCTTGTAGGCAAAAGAGACTTGAAGAAGTCTCCTAAACAAATATTGGATAGTCAGGACAAAGCCTTCGCTCACTTTCACTTTGTCGTAGTGCGTCAAAATAAATTCAATACTAGCACTTATACGTAGTATAGTGAAGTAGAGTTCGTATCCACAGGGAAAGGAATAATTATCTTTTTATGTAACTAGTAAGTAAAGGGGGTTTTTGACTGAGTGATTTAATTAAATTAAATACGAAGATGAACGACTTATATGAGATTTAAGTCAAGAATAAAGGGACTTGGCATTGCTACTTTCCACTTGTTGATATACTAGTTTTCAAGCCCGTGCGATGCACGGGCAGTACATAATTTAGTTAATTACAAAATTGATTTTTTTCAGAATCATATACGAAGTATAATTTAGAACTCATTTGGTAACCACATTTTTTGGGTTATCAGGTTTATCAGTCAACTTTTTCATCAAACACGTAAATTTTGATTTTGCGCATTGAATTGTGTAATAATAAAAAAACGTAGGGTTAAAGTTACTTTTCTGGATGTATAGGTTGAAGTTATTGTAGAAAACCATTTTATCTATTTTCATATAATTTTTCATTTATTTAATTAATAAAATATATTTTAAATATATTTTTTACATAAATCACAAAAATGGGCCAATACAGTCACTTCAACCAGAATTTCATAAATTTCAGCAGAATTAGCCGATTCAGCTGATTTTGATGTTACCAAACGGGCTCTTAATGTGATGCAAAAGCAAAAGAAACTTGGTCTAATATAAAGTTGTTTGATAATACTAAAATTAGTTGAATCGTTTGATTCTACTGTAATGAATTAAATCTAACTGATTAGACTGAATTGACTGAATCTCCCGAATTATGAAAAAATAAAATAAAATATACGGAGTACTACGTATGTCATTAATAAAATAAAATAAAAAGTATATGATTTTTTTTAAATGGACTTCTACATAAGCATTCACACAATTGTTATGAACCCGATTTTAAAGAATTCACACAAAAGTTTCTTAAAATATCTCACATACTTCAAATTACTTTATTAATTAAGCTTCTCAAAACACTATTTTTTAAATATTTCTCATTCAACATGGTATGAAATAAGTATTTTTAAATTTTAACATTTTACTCATTATTTCGTCATATTGAAATGTAAAAAATGGATCATTAATCAATGTAAAAAAGTTATTTTACAAAAATAAAATACTAAACTTTAGTATTATCAAATGACTTTATATTAGACCAAGTGTATAAAATAACTTTGATGAACAACATTAATAGGAATTTGGTTGGTTTATCCGTTAGGTGGCCAAAACACGGATAATTTATTTCTTCAATAGAATTTAATAAAAAAATAAAAGGTATAAAAATAATTAAATAATTGATACGTAGTATAAAATATCCAAATAAGGTGGATTCTATCTCTTTTGTTTCTGAATGGCTATTAATTGATGTGGTTCCAATTTCTAAATTTAATAGCCCATGTGTATGACGATAACATGTAAGTATATAAGTAACTGTCAAAGAGTTTATCTGTACAGCAAAAAAATGAGCAAAAATGTAGGCTATCCAAAGACTGGATAACCCATCACCTGCCAAAATAAGGGTGCCATAGCAGCACCCCTATGCTACCTCACGGCCTATCACAAGCAAAAAGAGGTGATGGGCGGAACAAGTTATCAGAGTACTACCAAATCACAGGGATAAATGCTATACAAAATTTTGTAGACAACATATTTTATCCTAGCAAAAACTTCCTCCTCTTTAGGCAAAAAACCATCAAATCTAGCTGCATTCTTGGTCCTCCAAATCCAGTATATGGTGCGGGAGAAAGCAATCCTAGCAGCCTTGGCTTGCACATTAGCTCCGCTCCTTTCCTTCTTGATCCATTTGACCGAGCTAGCCAAGGTCCCCATCATCCGTGGAATGCCAATCCATGCCTTCATCAAAGTCCAGACCTTACCTGAAAAAGGGCATTCAAAGTAGAGGTGTGGAGCCGTTTCCGGTCCACCCTTGCACAATACACAAGTATTATCCACATCTAATCTATGAACATTATCACACCTGGCTAACCTATTCCGGAATGCCAACCAAGTAATAAAAGAAAACTTGGGAGGGATGTAACCTTTCCA